CACACACACACACACACACACACACACACACACACACACACACACACCAGCATTAGGTTATTATCTCTAGAGCAGATATGGAGTGAGAAAAACAGCAGCTGATCCTGCAGAGTTTAGCACACAGGACAGACTGTGCACCAGGCCCTTAGGAGCCACTTGCTTCTGGAACAGCTGTATTTCATTGATACTAAAATCCCTTTGGCATTGGGATGATATAAACAGCCTGGGCGAGTGCCCCTGGCCATCAGAGAGAAACAGTTATGGGAATGGAGCATGCTGACTCATGGCCGTGAGCCACATGCTGCCTGCAAACAGCTGACAGGGAAGGCTCCAGAAGTCACTGCCCCTGCTGACCGGGCACCTGCCTCAGAGATCACCACTGAAGGGCACCAGAGCTCCACCCATTCCCTGTGAGCCCTCTGCACACAGTGTTGCTGTCTAATCTAGGGAGCCTCGGGTTTGGAATTTGGCAGTCCTGACTTCAAATCTGCAATCCCCTATTTTTACCCCAGGTATGTCGTAAGCAGTCACTTATCCCAGAGTTTCTCGGTGTTGTCCCTGTACCACCTGCACCAGAATCACCTGGGGACTTGGCGGAAATACTGATTCCTGGGCATCAGCCTAGACGTATTGAATCTGAGTCTTCAGAATGGTACATTAGAGAATCTGCAATTATAGCAAACTGATTCTCATGTATTAAATGTTGTGAACCATTGACTTCACCATGATGGATATCAGTTTCTGCCTCTGTAAAATAATGCCATTAATACTTTCCTCACAGGTTGTCTTGAGGATTAAATAGATGACATAATTATGCTTCCGGCAGGAACATAGTAGGTACTCAATAAATAGCAGGTAGGAGTGTATAATGGTCATTAGTACTTCAGTTTATCCAAAAGGATTAATAATCTGATGCCTATATATGAGAAGCACTTTGCAAATATAGTGCTTGGTTCTCTGTCTGAAGGGGAATCAAGAAATGTCCCATGGGCCAAAACACGCTCTAAGTCCAGGTCTACACAGAGGAAAATGAATGTTAGTTCATTCTAATGGGATATGGTGGGATGGTGGGGGCACTTTTACCTCCAATGCCTCTATGACCTAGAATCTTCACAGCTTTTAATGCCTCTTGAGCACTATTTCATAAGAAGTACATTATCCTCTCAGCAATATTGTGGGGCAGGGAGGATGAGTATGATTAAGACTGTTTTGCAGAAAATTTAGCAAATATCAGGTCATGGCTTTGCTGTGCTCACCTTGTCCAGTTGTCTATGCAACTCCAAGGACTTTTCTAAAATGTCATATTTTTTCTTGTTTTCATTGATGAAGTCATCGCAGAGGTGCCTGAGCTCTACACACCTGGGTCTGATGGAGTCTGCCGCATAGTGGTGGCTTTGGATGAGCTGGTCCCCAATTACTGCAAGCAGCTGGGCCTTTTCCAAGGGCTCCTGTGAAGTAAACGTCCAAACCAAGCATCAGGAGCCAGGTCATGGTGAGGCTGATATTTGCCTACCGTGTGCTCCAAATCAGGAACAACTTAGGGAGATGTTGATTCAGGTCTTAAGCTGAGAGTTGGAACTGGGGAACCTGGGAAAGCTCTGTGGCAGTTTGAAGTCTCCAGGAAGTCTAGCCTAGTCCAGGGTCACCTGCACCTTGAAGAAGAGCAAGCCATTCATTCATATGTTTGTTGAGTTCTGGGTGAGGCACTGAGACTCTAGTGGTAACAAGCCATGATTTTCAGTCTAATGGAGAACTCAGATTGTTAAATAAATTATACCCGTAATTCAATTATTACAACTGTGATAAGTTCTTGGCAGAAGACCATGAAGTGTTATACTGACCAGAACTGGAGACTCTGAATTCTCCTGTAAACTAAATGGAAAAGTAAAAGGATCAGCATGTGACATGAGGAGAGAGTAGAGTTAGCTGAATTTGGGAAACTGGTAAAGATCTGGTTTGGACAACTCTGAGGGATCATGAAACTTTAAGAAATATGTTTATCTAAACCCCTTCATGTGACTCACAGGATCCCACTCTGCTCTGAATTCATCTGACCAGAAACCACGCCTCCTACCTCTCCCTGCATGGCTTGCTTTGTTCTAACCACGTGTGCCATGTTTTTCTGTTTTTAATTTATTCATCACATATTACTGAGGACCTTCCAAATGCCAAACACTGTCATGTTAGGGGTTTGGTGGTAAAGCAGCTAAAATCCCTGCCCTCATGAAGCTTACATGTTAATAGAACACACAGGCAATAAACAATTAGATATGTAGATTATATAATACCTTAATTGGTGATGAGTGCTATAGAGAAAGATCAAATCGGGAGAGAAGGGCAGGGAGTGCTGGTAAGGAGTTATTTTAAGTAGGATGGTGAGAGAAGGACTCACTGAGAACGTGCTATCCAAGTGGTGCCAAAGCGTTAGCATAGCAAGACAGAGACCACTGTCCTTGCAAGGCCTGTTTGTAAGGTTAGGCCTTGGGTGCCATCTAGGAATGTCAGGAGGGTTCCTGCCATCCCCTGATAAGAATGGCTCACTGTGCCATTTGTACAAACAATATGCTTTACACTAAATCCCTGCTTTCTTTCTGGGAGTAGAGAATTCTGGTATACGCCAGGCAGAAGATACCTATGTGACCGGCCCCCAATAAAAACTGGGCACTGAGCCCCGAATGAGCTTCCCTGAGAGACAACATTTCACAATAGTGTCACAATCCTTTGCTGGGGGGATCATCTGATGGGACTCCACTGGAAAAGGAATCTTGGAAGCTTGTATCTGATTCCCAACAGACTTTGCCCCATGCACTTTTCCCATGTTGATTTTGCTTGGTATCTTTTCACAGTAATAATCATAACCACGAGTACAATTATGTGCTGAGTCCTATGAGTCCTCCTAGCAAATCTTCAAGTCTGAGTGTGGCCCTGGGAACCCCTGACACAGAAAAGTCAAGGCCTGAGGTGAGGAACAACCCATGCTGTACTTGATAGGGACATGTTTGACATATTCAGGCAGCAGGAGGAGGCCACCTGGAACAGAGGAAGCAAACAGGAAAGGAGTAGGAGACATAATCAGAAGAAAGAGGGAGACTGGATTGGGGAGGGCCCTGATGCCACTGTGAGCACTTCAGCTTTTACTCATTATGATGTGGGAAGCACTGGAGGGTTCTGAAGAGAGGATCTCATTCATATTTTTAAAAGGATGGCTCCTGCTGTAGTGTTGAGAACAGCAGAGAAGAGGCAAAGCAGCGAGGCCAGCTGGTGTCTCCTGCAGTAATCCAGGTAGGAGGGATGGTTTAAACAAGGCTGGCAACCGAACTAGCCCCTGTCTCAGGGTCCTTCCCTTGGATGCTTCTCCCAGGTTGGCTCACCTCCTCACAGGACCTTCCCTGATTACTGTATCTAAGTCACTCCCAGCAACACACCCACCCAGGCCCTCTCTCTCACTTCGTTTTCATTTTTTTTTTAACAGCACTTGACCTCTACCTGAAAGTATGTTCTTTGTTTACTTTAACATATGATTCTCTCATACTCCACCCACCACTACCAATACGTAAGTTCCATGAAACACTTAGAAGCACCTCATAAATATTTGATCAATAAAATGTTATTAGCCAGTGAACTAGAAGATATAGTGATATACTTGGCTGGAATTGTGTGAAAAAACATTGACCCGTGAGTCAACACAGATGACTTCCATGCTTCCAAAGGTCTCCAGGAGCTGAGAGGCCATGTGCACCCTCGTGACTACGTTAAGCATTCCAGTAAGATGCATTTGCCCTAGTTTAACTTTTTATAGTAACACAAGGAGTTATGATGACTCCAGGTGATGACCCTGCCCCTCTCTCAACTTACAGTGGTTTATGGTTTCAACAATCTCAAAAACACTTCCCCTTTCCTGGGCCAGTCATTCACCAAACTCTGCAGAGCCCATATCCTTCTTAGCAACTTCGTCGAATTCTGAGCCCTTCTCCAGGGCAAGAACTGTATGTTCTTGCCTTCCTGCTTTCTGACCAGGACAGCTGGTCTCTTTGCTTTCCTTCAGGCTCTCCTTCAAATCATGCTCCATAATTCTGATGAAACAGCAACTCCATTAAGCATCTCATCATGTCTACATCACTGCCACGCCTCAAAACCTTCCCTGGATCCCCACAGTCTTCATAAGAAAAGTTCAAACTTCTGAGCAATGCAGAGGGCCTTTCATTACCTGGTCATGCCTGTGTCTCTCCCTCCTCCATCTCCTCACCCCCAACTGTAACCCAACTAATGACCTGTTCATAGTTCTCCAAATATTCAGGCAGCTTTGGGCCTCCATGCCTTCTCTGCTTGCTCCCTCTGCCTAGAAAGCCCCATCCTTCCCTCACCACTACCCCGCACCCCCCCCAACTCACCTCCTGATACACCTACACTCCTCTGGAGCTAACTGTACATCACCCATCAGAGTTCACCTTCTCCACAAAGCTTTCTCTAACTCCACCATTTAATTTTGATGCCTCTCTTCTGTGCTCCCATAACACTCTGCGCCTTTCTTGATCAGAGCACATACTTCACTATATTGTGATCACTGATGTATTGCCTGGGCTAATGCTGCAGACCCTTGTGAGCATGAACCAGCTCTTATTTAGCCTAAAACGTGCCATGGGGAACATATTAGGTACTTAGGAATAAATGATTTTTGTACAAAACAAAACTGAGTAATGATATGGGAATAAAGTGACACAAATCAAGCAGTAGCTATTTAAAAGAACTCAGGTTTAAATACCCAGTGCATTTGGTCTGCCCAGCAAAGGCCAGATGGTCACCACTGCATAGAAAAGGTCAGAATGCTAACTCCTCAGGCAGTGATTTTTAACTGTTTTGCTCACTGTAGTGTCCTCATAACTTAGAACAGCACTTGGTATATAGTAGTAGAAGATCAACAAATATTTGCAAAATGAATGAAGAATGAATGAGACACTCTTACTAGAACTGCTCAGCCACTGCAGGTTGAACATAGGAAACATTCCGTAGCACAGTTTGCCCCACTACCTCTGTGATGTTAATGAAAATAGCTAATATTCATGGAGACCTTACTATAGGCCAGGCACTATTCTGAATGCTTAAGTTGACTGTTTCTTTTACTCCTTACCACAGACCCTTTGACATAGGCCCTGTTTAACAAAAGGGAAGTAGAGGGACAAATGGTCCAAAGTGACCCAGGTAGGAAAGAGAAGAGCCAGGTTTCAAACTCAGGCAGTCTGGCTCCAGAATCTAGTTCTGACCAACACACACACAGAAAAATGGCTGCATTTGTTCTGCCTAGGCTTAGAAACCTCATTTGGCTGATCAAATTCTGATTTTCATTGGGTTTATCAACCTGTCTGATTCCAGTCAAATATAGAAACGTGAAAACTTTGCAAGGAAGTCTGTTGTCTTTTTTTTTTAAAGGCCAGCTGCCAAATTTATTACGAATAGCACAAATTTGGGGTGCCTGGGTAGCTAAGTCGGTTAAGACTCAGACTTCGGCTCAGGTCATGATCTCCTCACTTGTGAGTTCCAGCCCCACATTGGGCTCTGTGCTGACGGCTCAGAGCCTGGAGCCTGCTTCAGATTCTGTGTCTCTGTCTCTCTCTGCCCCTTCCCTGCTCACACTCTGCCTCTCTCCCTCTCTCTCTCTCTCTCAAAAATAAACATTTTAAAAATTAAAAAAAAAAGGGGCGCCTGGGTGGCGCAGTCAGTTATGCGTCCGACTTCAGCCAGGTCACGATCTTGCAGTCCGTGAGTTCGAGCCCCACGTCAGGCTCTGGGCTGATGGCTCAGAGCCTGGAGCCTGTTTCCGATTCTGTGTCTCCCTCTCTCTCTGCCCCTCCCCTGTTCATGCTCTGTCTCTCTCTGTCCCAAAAATAAATAAAAGTTGAAAAAAAAATTAAAAAAAAATAGCACAAGTTTTCTGGGCCTAGGAAACTTCGCCACAAGAAATTTCCCAAGTGCTTTGTAGTGATCAGAGCCTGCCCTTTGCTTGGCATGCAGCATCTCACCCTTCAGAACTGTTCTTAAAACACCGAGATGTTGGAAGAGAGGTGTGAGTAGGAGGTCCAGATGGGTCTTGGGAAAAGATCCGTACATATAGCTCAGAAGCCACACTGGATGGCTAGAAGATCACTGTACTGGAATGAATGGGTAATAATAATAGCTTCCAGGTTCTGATCATCTACTATGCTCCAGGCACTCAATCCTTATGAAATCTCTACCTCATTTCATCTTCACAGGGAACAGGAATGATTATTAACAGTTTATAAGATGAGGGGATGTGTTCAGAAAGACTAAGAAACTTGACTAAGGGCACACAACTGGTGGTTGTTAGAGCAAAGATTTTAATCCACTCCTGTCTGGCTCCAACGCCTGTGTCTTGTCGCCTCCTAGCCCTCTTGGCCTCCTTGCATGTGCTATAAATGATGGCTGCACAGCCATGACTGTTAAATCCTTCAGGTGCCTTCAAAGAACTTTGCTGTAACCCACCCCCCCCACACACACAAATTGCAGCTTTTTAGTCTATACACCTTCTGCTGAGGAAAATCCGGTGAAAACCCACCAAAGTAAAAGAAATAATGAGAAAGAAATGGCTGAAATCTGGTGTTCTGAACACAAGCCAGCCTGTCATCTTTGAGATGCCAAGAATTCCAGAATGCTAGATGGTCAAGTTGCAGCATGTAATTCAGAAACCCTTATTGTAATAACAGCTTATTTTTCCCCATATTCTACTGCTATAACAGATGAAAGTGTCTACTGTGAAAGAAAATGATGAGAAAGGGTGATGCTCTGTGTCAAGGAACCCAGAATGAACCCACAGATAATGGCCTCGGAATGGAATATACATATGGAGAAGTGGGCCAGATGAAACAAGAAAGGCAGAAAGTTAATGGCTGTTCAAACTGAGCGTACACATGGGAGTTCATTGTACTAGTTGATCTACTTTTGTGTGTGTTTGAAAATTTCCATTAAAAAAAAAAAAAGCCATGCCCCTCCAGCTAGATTTATATCCCTAGAAGGTTACTGATCTGGGTTCCAAGCCTTCTTGAACACGTACTGTAACTGCTGGCCCCTGGTTGTGTGGGGAGAGGTCAAGGCTGAAATCAGGTTGGTTCCCCTGTCCTGTCCTTGTCTGCTCCCTGATGACCCATCACCAAGTACCCCGACATGCCTTACAGCCAAAACCCTAGAGTAAATTCTACTTTTAAAGAAGTAAGAGTAGGGGCTGAAACCACCACTGTTTCTCAGAATTATAAACGAGTGCCAAACTGTCAAACCAGACAAAGATAAAAGAATGGGTTCAGTAAGCACGTGGCAGGAGTCTGGTCAGTGAGTTGGCTCAGAGGTTACCCATGAGGATGATATCACTGTACAGAATAAGGAAGTTGGAAACAACCCAGATATTAGTGAGTGGCTATGCCAGGAGGGAAGGTGACCCCTGAGTACTGAGTGAAGGATAAACCCAAGCAGGTTTTGGTAGACTAGCCAGACATCACCTTGTTCCTTTAACACTTTGCAGGACAAATGGAAAGGCTATCCAAGCCTTAATCATCTGAAGAAACACTGTCTCTTAGAAGTCTGAGGGAAGACAGTTAAAAAGGTCCTGGTTATGATAGGATAGCTTTTTTGGTTCATCTAAAGGCAGAGAAATAGGTCTACTATATCCCTTGGAAAATAAGTTAAAATCTGGATAAGTAAGGCACAGGATGGGTAAAACGAATGTGCCTGGGCTCTGCAGGTCATCTGCAGTGGGTTAGTCTACCTGGTTCAGATCCTTTGCCCATGAAAGATGAATCATGGGTTCACAGAGCATTCCTGTGTCCCATGACCATAGGTTTCTCCCCTAGCTCTAATCAGCGGCCTCTAAAGTATGTACCAAAGATTGCAAGTTCAAGGAGGTAGGCAGAAGAGAGAAAGTGGTTGCAGTCATGCAGATCCAGCCAACCCAGCAGTGATTTAAAGCCCAACCCAGACTATCCTCCAATGGATTCCACTGAAATAAAACCCAATCCTCATCATCATCACTCTCACCTTGTTCCTTTATGGCTCACTAAGTTCCAGACACATTCCTTGAACTCATCAGCCTAATTCTTGCCTCAAAAGCTTCATACTTGAGACTTCTCTGCCTTGTATGCTATTCCCCAAATCTTTGCAAGGCTATGCAGAGCTCAGTTCAAAGGACACTTTCTCAGAGAGACCTTTCCTGACTACCTGGGCTAAAGTAGCACCCCCAGTCACTTATATCCTGTTATTTTCTTCATACCATTTGTCATTATCTGACATTAGTATTTGATTACTTTTTACTTGTTTCTCTCTCTCTCTCTCTCTCTCTCTCTCTCTCTCTCTCTCTCTCTCTCTCCAGCAGAATGTAAATTCAGTGAGAGCAGGGTCTTAACTGCCTGGTTTGCCACCATATCCATGGAACCTAGGATAAGGAATACCTGGTAATGAATGAATGAACTTCAGGTCAGTAGCTACTTTCATTCATATATATGCTATGACCATATTTTTCAAACCCAAAATATAAGGACTGAGCTTGGTGAGGCTTTTTTCCCCCTAATATATGAATGTATATAAGTGAAAATACATAGTAAAATAATGAGTTCTCTTGAAAAGAACTGAAATTACATAAAATTGGGACTGTCTTGGGGAATCTGAGATAGTCATTACATACACAAAATTCAATGTTTCCACTGTTTGACAAATGTTTCTGATCACTCATGCCTACAGCACTAAAATGTTTAGCTTCAAATGATCACCGATAACAGAAGGAGTACTCACAGGGATGGATGAGATTCCTGAGTGAGAGTCTGGGTATACAGGTGGGTCCATGTATTCACATATGTGCAGAAGCACCCCCAGCTCAGAATCCACAACTGATAGCTCTTAGGGTCAGAGTGAACTTGGTTTGTATTTGTTACTTCTCCTTTGGCAGGAGGGGTATGTCTCTAACTATAATGTGCATGTCAATCACCTAGGAATCTTATTAAAATGCAGATTCTGATTCTGAGGTGGGGGGGCGTGCCTTATATTCCATATTTCTAACAAGTTCTCACTCAGGTGACATCTATGCACTGGCCAGAGGACCACACTTTTTGAAGCAAATCTCTAATATTACAAAATTACCATCTGGAAAACATGCATATAGATTAGCTCAGAAAGGAAGTGCTAATCATCAAGGACATAGTCCCCAAGAGACAAAAATATAGAGAATCTAATTTAAGAATAGCAGAAAAGAACTTCTCTGGAAAGAGAGGACTCGGCTTTCTTAATTTGTAATAACCCAAATTTGTAAGGACTTGAAATAGAATCATTCCTACCTGCTGACTTGTGTGCAGATCTGGGAAACTGTCTAATGCTGGTATGAGAATTGTGAAACACATATTCTTTTACAAGTTTGATATTGACAACTTTTGGGGCATTTGAAAGGAGAAAGCTTTGCCAGCTCTGTGTAGCAGCAGAACTGATGCGGAGCAATTTCCTCCTTCTCACCATTCTGCTTGTTATAAAACTAGTTGGTTTTTTTTTTCTGGTTTCCCCTTTTCAAGTTTCCCCTCCTTACCACCAACTCCCACCCCTACATCCTGCCAGTAGATAATGTGCCCACTATGACCTTTCCTCCCATTGCTTCTGTACCAGCAGGCAAGTCTACTGGAACCCTCCCCCTACCTGGCAGTGTGGTGACTGGAAAGGCAGGATTTGGGCATTCCTGTGTCCTTCAGCAACCTTCCAACAATCATGAGTGGACATGATCTGTCACTGTCCCCAGCAATTTCCTTCCCAGTCCATAAAAACAGCAAAAAACAAACCTGGCCTTTTCCTTCCAGTTTTTTGTGTTCCTTAAGAAGTTGTTCCACACGTATCACACTGTCTCCGATGTCTGTAAACTCTGCTTGCTCTGCCAACAAATTGTCCAGGGCACGCTTAACCTATAAGACACATTAGAACATCCAGAAATAAGCCATGAGCACCTCTCTGGAGGTATAGGTTTGTATACTCTAAGAAAACTTGAAAATCCAAACAGGATTCAGGACTTTTATGTATCTACATATACATTTTTTTTTTAAGTTCATTAACTTTTAGATTAAGCTTGGGGCAGGGGTGGAAAGGGGAGTTTGGTGTTGAGATACATGTAGATGAAATAGTAAAACCACCTTTACAGGTTATCAATCAAAAAGAAAGATAAACCTCGGGGTGCCTGGGTGACTCAGTTAGTTAAATGTCTGACTCTTGGTTTCGGCTCAAGTCATAATCTCATGGTTTGTGGATTTGAGCTCCTCATTGGGCTCCATGCTGACAGTGCAGAGCCTTCTTGGGATTCTCTCTTCCTCTCTCTGCCCCTCCTCCCTTCTCTCAGCCCCTCCCCCTTCTTGCTTGTGTTCTCTAAATAAATAAACAAACAAACAAACAAATAAACATTTTTTAAAAGGAAGATAAACCATACACAAAATGTCATGTATGTCAACAGGAAAATGGGATTCTAGAACATTGCTACCCCACTGAAAAAGGAAGAAGAGAATGATCAATGAGGAAGCAAGAATATAAGGAGGGGGCTGGGTTAGTGAGGACACTCAATATCCATAGTCCAAGGGGGAAGAGAGAACCAAAAGTCACTGAACCATGAAAGGAAGTTCTATTACACAAGAAAATAACACCTCATGAAAATTGTGCTCAAAGTGTTGTAGTTGTAGGCATTGACTAAGCTTCAAGTGATGCTCGGACCAAAACTGATTAAAGGCTTTCTCTGTCTCATCCAATTGAAGTAATAACCTGTCAAGAAAGAATGAGAAAGTGACATTGTGGTTAGTGTTCATTTCCACATGAGTCCATGTAGGCTTATGTAGGTAGCCCCTGTGTTTCCAGTCAGTGATATTAATTGTGGGAATCTCCTTATTATACATATGTCTGTCACCTATGACTTTTTCATGATTCATCTGGCTCCCACATTTTCCATTTTTCAATCAGGGATACCCTCAGAACGAAGCAGAAACTTTACTTCAGATGCAGCTGCTGTGCTTTCAAATGTGTCCCTAGGTAACCTTACCTATGTGCCTTTCGTTTTCTACTGGTGAGACGATAGGTGTATAAAGTACAGCACCCAATGAACGGTTATTTAGAAATAAAGATAAATAAACACTACCATCTCCCTTGAAATCCTGGGATGAAAGTTATAGCACAAAGCGTGGCGGGGGGAGGGGGGGGGGGCAGGACAGCATTCTTACAAAAAGATCTCTGTAGATGGATACCATGTTTTTGCCTTTGTTGTCTCAAATATTATTCTTTCCTGACTCCAGCAAGATCCAGTAGTAACTGTACCAATCTGGTTTTGGTTATTTCTGATTATTGAGTTCTACATATCCTCTCCTCTCTCACTCACCTTTCCATGGTTGCTACATTCTCTAGCTGATTGGGATTGAGTTTTCTGGTGGGACTTTTGGTTGCTGGTTCTTGAATGCATGACAGCAGTGTGGCCCCTTGCTTTCCAAGTAATTTCAGCTCATCCTAGAGAAAGGAAAATATAGTTTGTCTTAGAAGAAACTAACAAAAGCAAATTCTTGGTAGATTTGAGGTGAAGAGAATGGCAGATCAGGTATATCTTTCATTTAGGAAATTAAATGCTAAAGAAGTTGAGCTGCAGCTTTTAAAAATTAATTAACTTATTTATTTTTGTTTTTTCAATTTTAATTCCAGGGTAGTTAACATAAAGTGTTATGTTAGTTTCAAGTGTACAATATAGTGATTCAAGAGTTCTATACATTACTCAGTGCTCATCATGGTAAGGGTACTCTTAATCCTCTTTACCTATTTCTCCCATCCCCCTACCTACCTCCCCTCTGGTAATCATCTGTTTGTTCTCTACAGTTAAGAGTCAGCTTTTTGCAGCACTCTCAACAATAGCCAAATTATGGAAAGAGCCTAAATGTCCATCAACTGATGAATGGATAAAGAAATTGTGGTTTATATACACAATGGAGTACTACGTGGCAATGAGAAAGAATGAAATATGGCTCTTTGTAGCAACATGGATGGAACTGGAAAGTGTGATGCTAAGTGAAATAAGCCATACAGAGAAAGACAGATACCATATGGTTTCACTCTTATGTGGATCCTGAGAAACTTAACAGAAACCCATGGGGGAGGGGAAGGAAAAAAAAAAGAGGCTAGAGTGGAAGAGAGCCAAAGCATAAGAGACTCTTAAAAACTGAGAACAAACTGAGGGTTGATGGGGGGTGGGAGGGAGGGGAGGGTGGTGATGGGTACTGAGGAGGGCACCTTTTGGGATGAGCACTGGGTGTTGTATGGAAACCAATTTGACAATAAACTTCATATACTGAAAAAAAAAAGAGTCAGCTTTTTGGTTTGTCTCTTTTTTTTGTTTTGTTTCTTAAATTCCACACATAAATGAAAGCATATGGCATTTGTCTTTCTCTGACTGATTTACTTCTCTTGGCATCACACCCTCTAGATCTATCCATGTTATTGCAAAATGGCAAGATTTCATTCCTTTTTATGGCTGAGTAGTATTCTATTGTGTGTGTGTGTGTGTGTGTGTGTGTGTGTATCACATCTTCTTTATCCATTCATCTATCCATGGACACTGGGGCTGTTTCCTTAATTTGACTTTGTAAACTATGCTGGAATAAACATAGGGGTGCATGTATCTTTTTGAATTAGTATTTTTGTTATCTTTGGGTAAATACACAGTAGTGGTATTATTGGATCATATGGTTATTAACTTATTTTTAACAGGTAATACATATACATGATACAAAATCCAAAATATACGAAAGGGTATATACTGGAAAAAATAAGTCTTTTGTCCTCTGCTCATCCACTTTTCCTCTCCAAAGCAACAACTCTTAAATTTTGTGGGTATCTCAGGCAGCTGTTGTATGTTTAAAGTAAAAGTAATAAACCAATAATTTTAATTAATACTATTTATTTATATTAATTAATTAATAATTTTAAATTTATTAACAAATTAACAAAATCTGGTTCTAATCCAAGGCAGAGACCAGAAACAAGAAAATGACAGATACTGAATAAGCTAGACACTGCCATGAAATAATAATGTAATAATTGATAGAAAAGCAGGAAAAAAACCTCATCTGGTATTGTCAATAGACTCCTGCTTCTTCTTCTACCTGTCCCCAAAGTGTGGCCTTGCTCAACTACTGAAGTTTGGTGTAGATAGGCAGCAACTTCGGGTTGATATGGAAAGAGTCATACTTCCAAGGCAACTCTATTCTGCTCCTTTTACATGGGACTTTGGGCTTTGTAATTGGAGAGGATGTCAGGTTATCTCCTGCCAAATACAACAGCTCTAATCCTCTAATCACACAGCACAAGTCATTTCTGTCAATACCCTGAGTGCTAACCACAAAATAAGCCAAAGGGACAGAGCCGGGCAGAGCACTTTGCTTCTAGGAGTTGGGTGCTTGGTGCATGGTTCACACAGGATGCTGGTTACTGTGCCCTGAGCAATAAAATAGGCCCATAGTTACAAAAACATATCCTGTATGCACATGAACCCTGAATCTCTCCTCCAGGCCTAGCCACCTCCAGCCTTCACATAGTATGGAGCTCGTTCCCTGTGGGAGGAGTTTTATACTTCTCCACCCTATTCACACACAAGTACTGGCTTGCTCACCCTCATGCCTTTGCTCCTGGTCTCCAATATCACTGTATTATTCATCCCCTTGCAGGCTTCTGCTGTCGAAGCCTCAAACTTGTCCCTGGATTTGGCTGATGATACATTTGACTTTTCTGATCTGGCCCCCAAGTTCTTTGGACACCCCTGTGGCTCTGTCCACTCCAGGTAAGGCCCCAAGTCACTCTCTCAGCTGGTACTCCTGCATGGGAACTAGACACATCCCTTCTTTTCCACTCTCAGGTATCAGCCCTCATTTCTTCTTATTTCACCAATGCTCATTAAATATTTGTAGGTTGGATGAATTAATAATAGTCTAAAAGAAATTAGGTTGCAAATGAATAAGGACAAATAGGATATGATAGGGGAAGGGGGGCGGAAAGCACTCATTAGCAAGTGCTCTTACCTTTCACTCTTCCTACCTTCTAAAAAGAGTCTTGGCTTTTCTCAGTTTCTTAAATGTCCTTGAGATTCCAGAATTCCAGCAGGATTCTGGCATTACCATTAAATTGTGTGTGTGTGTGTGTGTGTGTGTGTGTGTGTGTGTGTGTAGAGTTGGGAGAAAGGGTGGAGGGGCCAGAGAAGTAGAGGCATATTGCTGGGGCAGAAGGAGACTTTTTGGAAGGGGAAACTTGGGACACAGATATACCCAAAGAAGTGCAGAGTGTGAGGAAGCGTGTGAGAAAGACAACGTGGGTCTGAGCAAGCGATGTCATTCACTGTGTATCCCCTTCACACTATCAAAAACTATATATATATATATATATATATATATATATATATATATATATACAAAGAAAAATTATGACTGGTTACTGCTTTGGGACTAGGCCATATATGGTCTAGCAGGGTTAGCTTTAGCAGGGTTACAAAAATCTGCCATAAATACACAGGGAAAGATTGAGGAACTATGATACTTGGAAAGTGAAAAGGTAAGTTGCCCAGGACAAAAATGGAGTTTTCCCTTGTCCATAGTAGTAACAATTCAAAATATTTAATAACTGTTTAGAGCAGTCATTAACCAATCAGCACAGATGTCAGATATAATACTGAAGCAGTCCTGAGGCCAACTGCTATCCACGTGTTAACCCCTTTTGATGCCAGAAACATGAGGAGGTCTCATGGGTCCTAGGAAATGGGCCAGAGAGGTAAAGTTGGGCACTTGTGGAACATAAATATTTAACAACTGGTATGGCTGTCCCAGTGTGTACTTATCATTACAATTCCACTGTTATGGGAACAAGCAGTTGGTTCAAAAGACCCACTTAATAGGGCAAGCAGATTGCTTCAGGCTCAAAGGAATTTAAATTTTCTGGGGAGAATTCTTTCCTATGACAAGGGTAAGCCTAAATGTAGACATTCATTCATTCATTCAGTCAGTCAGTCTGTCAAAATACATTTAAAAGCACTACTATTCATGCCAGGTGCTGTGTTTGGCTGTGTCATGGGCTGGGGGTGGAGGTGGGGGAGGAAGTTAAAGGATGAATCAGAGCCTAGAGATTATATGAATGACTAATACTTTAGACTCCTTACTTAGCTTTTATTACCCCATTTCTGCCACTACACGTTAGCTCTACCATGCTGGGTTTCTCTTATAATGCTGAATAATGAATTCTAGAATGTGGCCTTTAAAATGCAAGTCCTCATAATTGAGAAAAAAGAAGTCCATAAAAGAGATGATATATCCTCTTTCCTCAGCAGATACTGAGAGATATCTTCTTGTGGTATAAAACTAGTCCAAAACCCTGATTTGTTAAGGCATTAACACTGAAAACATTCATAAGAATAGCAATTTCATCTTCCTGTGCAAAATCAAGACCTCTGTGCCTATGCATTTTTAACATATTCTCTGCAAGTAGAATTTAAACAATGGGGTCTTTAAAAACTCCTAAGACTGTAGGGCGCCTGAGTGGCTCAGTCGGTTGAGCGTCTGACTTTGGCTCAGGTCATGATCTCACAGTTTGTGGGTTCAAGCCCTGCATTGGGCTCTGTGCTGACAGCCTAGAGCCTGCAGCCTTCTTCGGATTCTGTGTTTCCCTCTCTCTCTGCCCCTCCCCTACTTGTGCTCTGTCTCTCTCTGTCTTTCAAAAATTTAAAAACAAAAAACAAACAAACAAAAAAAACCCTCCTAAGACTGTAAATTATTTCTAGGGCCTACAAAAAATCACTTATTACTCTGATTATCTTCTTGATTATTTGCAACCCTGGAAATGCTGATAGAATTGTCATCTCTGAATACACAATTGGATAAATTCTGAATGGAACAAATATTAAATGCTAAACAGTATTCATATTTGTAGAAGAGTGCTCTATCACATAATCAAAGGACCACTGGCACTTTCCTCCTGCATGATGAGAAAAAGGACTATGGCCCTGTTGGATTTCTTATTTTAACAACAACAACAACAAAATATGAGAGTCTTACCCTATTTACCTGGACACATGGTAAAGTGTGTCAGTTGACTTAAGTATCTGAGAGTATAAGGCCAAGGCCCTGGGGTTTCTGCCCCAAAATAAGACCTTCAAAGAGGTGAGAATCACCTCCTTTCTCTCCACAGAGAAGGAAGACTGCCTGCCTCTGTGAACTGCTTCCAAAACCAACATGGAATTAGACAACAGGAAGAGCTGTTTTGCTAAGAAAGAAGGTCTGTAGGGCTATCATAAACAGTATGAAAAGCACGTACCTGTATAGGGTTCATGGTTATTTTATTATTATTTTAGGCCCAAAGATATTTTTCTTTCTTTCTTTTTTTTTTAATTTTTTTTTTACATTTGTTTATTTTTGAGAGACAGAGCACAAGTGGGGGAGCGGCAAAGAGAGAATGAAACACAGAATCCGAAGCAGGCTCCAGGCTCCAAGCTGTCAGCACAGAGCACGACACAGGGCTTGAACCCACAAATAGTGAGATCACGACCTGAGCCAAAGTCGGACGCTTAATCAACTGAACCAGCCAGGCGCCCCAGATCTTTTTCTTTTTTAAATTTTTTTTTCAACGTTTTTTATTTATTTTTGGGACAGAGAGAGACAAAGCATGAACGGGGGAGGGGCAGAGAGAGAGGGAGACACAGAATCGGAAACAGGCTCCAGGCTCCGAGCCATCAGCCCAGAGCCCGATGCAGAGCTCGAACTCACGGACCGCGAGATCGTGACCTGGCTGAAGTCGGACGCTTAACCGACTGCGCCACCCAGGCGCCCCTCTTTTTCTTTTTTAAAAAATTGAGATATTATTCGTATAGTACCATAAAACTCTTCTTTTAAGTTTTATTTATTTATTTTGAGAAAGAGAGCGTGTGTGCGCACACGAGCAGGGGAGGGGCAGAAAAAGAGAATCCCAAGCAGGCTCTGCACCATCAGCGCAGAGCCTGAAGCCAGGCTTGATCTTCTGAACTGTGAGATCATGACCTGAGCCAAAGTCAAGAGTCAGATGCCCAACCACTGAGTCATCCAGGCACCCCTAAAACTCACCCTTTTAATGCATACAAGTCCATGTTTTCTCCCCAGAACACTTTCATCACCCTCAAAAAGAAACCCCATACCTATTATCAATCACTCTCCATTTCTCCCTCTTTCCAGACCCTGGAAACCACTAATCTACCTTTCTCTCCATATTTACCTATTCTGGACATTTCATATAGGTAGAATTGTACAATATGTGGCTTTTTGTGTCTGCTTCTTTCACTCTGCGTAATTATTTCAAAGTTCATACGTATTAAAGCATGTATTGGTACTTCCTTTCTATGGCTGAGTAATATTCCATTGTATGGATATACCACATTTTTTTATCCCCTCATCAGCTTATTGACAAATGGGTTGCTTCCACTTTTGGGGTGTTATGCTGCTATGAACATTTATGTGTAACTTTTTATATAAAACATGTTTTCAAATCTCTTATGTACATACGTAGAAGTAGAATTTCTGGGTCATATGGTAACTTTATGTTTAACTTTTTGAGGACCTACCAGACAGTTTCCATTCCCACAAGCAATGTATGAGGGTTCCAATTCCCTCACATCCTCATCAACACTTATTATGGCCCACCTTTTTAATTAGTGCCACTCTAGTGGGTATATCACTGCAGTTTTAATTTGCATTTCCCTAACAATATATGACGTTGCACATGTCTTCATGTGCTTAATAACCATTTATCTGTCTAATGCCTGTTCTAATCCTTTGCCCATTTTTTTAAAGCTTATTTATTTTTGAGAGAGAAAGACAGAGCTCACACAGGGGAGGGGCAGAGAGAGAGGAAGACACAGAATCCAAAGCAGGCTCCAGGTTCTGAGCTGTCAGCACAGAGCCTGACACAGGGCTCGAACTCACCAACCATAAAATCATGACCTGAGCCACCTGAGTTGAAGTCGGACCCTTAACCAACTGAGTCACCCAGGCACCCCTACTTTGCCCATTTTTTAATTGGGTTATTTGTCTTTTTTTATAAAGGTTGAGTTGTAAGAGTTGTTTATTTTTTTAATTTTTTAAAAAATGTTTTATTTATTTTTGAGAGAGAGAGAGAAAGAGCAAGTGGGGGAGGGGCAGAGAAAGAAGAGGACAGAGGATCCAAAGCAGGCTCCCTGCTGACAGCAGCAAACCCCATGCGGAGCTGGAACTCAAGAACTGTGAGATCACAACCTGAGCCAGTCAGATGCTCAACCAACTGAGCCACCCAGGTACTCCAAGAGTTGTTTATATATTCTGAATATTAGACTCTCATCAGATACATGATTTGTAGATATTTTTTTCCCATTCTGCGGGTTGTCTTTTCACCTTTTTGATAGTGTCCTTTGAAGCACAAAAGTTCTTAATTTTGGTGATGTCTACTTTATTTATTTTCTTTAGGTGTTAGTGCTTTTGGTGTGGTATCTAAGAGACCATCGCCTAATGTAAGGTCATAAAAAATTACATCTATATTTTCTCCTAAGAGTTTTATAATTTTGGAACTTATATTTAGTTCCCTGACCAATTTTGAGTTAATTTTTGTGGACAAGGTGAGGTAAGCATCCAATTTCCTTCTTTTTCACATGGATATCCAGTTGTCACACGGTCCAAAGGGCTTAAGGAGTTTTCATTCCCATGAAGAGAAAACCTCCTTAATCATTTGGGGTATTTAATTTTTTTTACTGTCAGCACTCAGGCTACAGAAGGAGTTCAGGGACACGCTTCTGGGAACATCCATAGAAGTCCATAGAATTTCAGTGAATTTCCTCTTTGCACAGACAAGGTCCTAGTGGCAGCAGGGTGAATGCCAGCATACTGTTTGTAAACTGAGAGACAGCTCATAGCCTGTCAAAGTCACCCTTACTCAGGAAGTAGAAGCTCTCCTCGGAGAAGGATCCAATATGCAAAAGATCCTGGGACACCTGCCTGCACGTGCTCTGAAGATGTGCCCTAAGTTTCCATCCAGGTGTAAAAAGCACACACAGGAACAGGAAGGGTGTGCTAGGTTGTGTGTGCTTGTCAAGGTCATCAGAGACATTTCCAGGGAAAAGTTCTAGGATGTTTTCAGGTTTTCACAGTTTCAAACCAGATCTTTTAATTATTCAGAGTAATGTGGAAAGTATATTTTGAACTCTTTTTTGGATATCCAGCTCCTTCCAAAGAGAATTTAATAGTGCTCCCTGACACATGGAAGAATTAATTTGCCTTAGCCGCTAGACCCTGAGACTCCCCTAACTCAACTATAGTACATGTAGTGGTAGGTGGTCAATAATGCTGGCTAAATGAGCAAATCAACCACCTAGCAAAGCGTTTTTGTAAATTTTGGGCCACAAATAAAAGAGGTCAGCTCTTCTCAAGCTCCATGCAGCAAGAATACATGTAATGCTAAGATGCATTGACCTTCTGATCCCCAGTTTGCTGCCCAATGGTGTTCTGGTCTTCTGGTGAAATGATGGGTTTGGTCCATTTATGCTTCTGGAAGTAGAAAAGAGCTGAAACCCTTCCTATAAGCCCCAGGAAGACACCTCCCTTTACTGCATGACCTGAAAGAATCTACCAGCCTCCATTCTTAGCAGGTTCTGACATGATTTTATGAATAGTTAATAGGTGCTTCTCCTTAAACCCAGTTCAGAGCACCTTCCATGTCTTCTTTCTCAAATTACTCCCCAAATAAAAAGATACATCCCTGAGAAAGTGAAGCAATAGTTTGCCCCAAAGTTATTAGTTATTAGTTTGCCCCAAAACCTCACAATAGGCTCAGGAAAGCTTATGCCTCAAAAGACAATTGCCACTCCTCCTTCCTTCACTGCAGCCATATCCATCATATCTTGCTCTGTCCCAAACAGATCATAGAGGTGCTGCACTTGAGAGGAGGTTCACACACCTGTCTCACATGGTGGAATGAGTTTCCCTTTACAGGGCTGCTTCTCACAGGTCTTAATTACAATCCTTTTACACTCATGGACCAGTCTCAAGAGGTTTTCCTCTTTACATACTGCCTATCTAGAAGATTTAAGATGATCAACTGCTGCCAAGTCACCAGAAAAGGGGGAAGAAGAGGACTGCACTTTTAATTCTGCTCCTGGCTCTCTCCAAGGCCACTGGCCACTCACCTGCAGCTTGTCCCGCTGCCCTGTGTGGGACATGAGGAGGTCTTCAGTGGACAGCAGGCCCCTGGGCAGCTCTGTTGTGGCTAGGCAGGCCCCAAACATCTGGAGCATCTGGGCAGTGGTCTTCAATGTCACGGCAAAGTTTTCAATGGCCTGGAAGGTCAGACATAACAATGAGGACAGCTTAACGTTCACCAATATGCTCTCTGAATAGAAGGACAGTACAACTAGCTGCCATTTCCTGAGTACCTGCAACGGGCCATGCATTGTACTTGGTGCTATACATTTGTCTATCATCTCAACAATCCAGAATGGAAGGTATTTTATCTCCATTTTATAGAAGAGGGAACTGAAGCTCCAACAGGTCAAGTGAATTGCCCAAGATAGTATTGCTTGAGCAGTAAGGAAGGAAAGAAGGCAGGATTCAACTAAAGTCACTAAGTTTGGGAAGCAAGTTTGACCCCAAGGGAGAAGATGGATGTAGTGATTAGGTAAGTCGCTAGTGACCTTTCAGAGAGTTACTTTTATCACATGTGATAAGGCGTTGGGGACCTCTGCCTGTCACTTCTTTATAAAAATTGACCTTCCACTAAGGACACTACTCTGCCATTAAATGAATACCTACTAACTGATGAGTAACTTCACACCTCATATCCCAGGTGAGATATCTGCATTTTACTCAGTACAGTTTAGCAGTAAACATGTAGCCTAACCTAGAAAAAGTGATGCTGATCATCAGCAGATTTAGTTGAAAGTAAGTGGCTTTTAAGAATCCCACAAATCATTCTACTCAGCCAGATGGGTTCTACTATGCCCACTTCCCTCTGCTCCTGAGACAACTTTGCCCTTGAAGGGCAAGCGCAATTCATCTCTGTTACCCCAGCAAATGGTACTATGCCTGTCACATAATAGGTGGCCCATAAACAGCTGCTAGATGGATAACTGATAGTAGCAAAGAGGTCTAACCTAATTTTCACTTGGGAAAAAATTACCTCTGATCTTATATCATCAGAGAACATTTCTGAAAATCCAGATGCTCATCATAAAGAATGTGCCAGACATGAGGTGGCCCTTTTCTGCACCAGAGGCCAGAGCTGAGGCTGGAGCTATAAGGCTTCCGGAGCATAGCACACCCCCGCCTACTGTCTGAAACTGAAGTCTTTGTCCTTTAACCATTTTTTTTAGGTAAGCTCTACACCCAGTGTGGGGGTTGAACTCATGACCCTGAGATCTAAAGTCGTATGTTCTACCAGAGCCAACCAGGCACCCACCATCAACTGTATAACCTTGAATAAGTCACTTCTTTACTTTGAAGGTCAGTTTCCTTATCTGTAATGAGTCTCCCCTATTGTTGTTGGTGGAATCTCCCCTATTAGCACAAGTATTTATACAGTTGCAATCTTGAACATCATAGTTCTTTTGGCCTGGAAATTCAGACAACCACTAACTTTTATGAAAATCTTCCAAGCACATCAAAGTATTATTACTTTTACATAACCTAATATCTGTGTAAGATACTCTCTCAATGTCATTCACCAATAGCCTATAATGAATAACATATAAAAATCCAATTTATCAGAGGACTTATAAGAAAATATGATATTAAATATTTTTTTATTTTTTATTTTTTTTCAATATATGAAATTTATTGTCAAATTGGTTTCCATACAACACCCAGTGCTCATCCCAAAAGGTGCCCTCCTCAATACCCATCACCCACCCTAAATATTTTGCTTTATATGCACTACCTCTTGTAATGCATCTCAAATAGGTTACTATTATCACCACAATCTATAGACTAGGAAACTAAGGTGAATTCAGGTTAAGTAACTTCCCCAAAGTCATATAAAAAATTAGTGGCAGAACTGGAATTGAACCCAGAGCCAGCCATCTTAAGCACTATATGCTACACCACCTCTTAGCAATAAAAACTAGATTTCACAAAACTAGATTTAAAATTAAACCAACAAAAAATCTTGGCTTTTGGAGTTTCAGACTTGAATTAGAGTTCAGATTCTGATCTCTAACTGTGTGATCTTAAGTAAGCCAGGTATTACTCTGAGTCCTAGTGTCCTCATCCGAAAAACGGGAATAATGGTTGCTCTGTTTTTGCAGGGGTTTTTTGAGGATCAAAGGAATAGCAAATGTGAAAGGACTTGGGCACAGTACAGTACCTTGGAAATGTAATAATAATAACAGTAACAACCCTGAGAGTCAGGTGCCAGGCCTGCAGATGAAATAGAGGAAAATACAGGAAATAGAGGAAATCCAGGCGTTTCCTATGGAGAGTCTGTTAACAAATTAACTTGATTCCAGGTATCTGATTAGCAAACAATCACCTTGGAAATGGTACAAAGGACCTGACACTGATGGGGTGATGAAAAAGAGCTTAGCCTTAGTCTTGGCTCTACCACTACTCAACTGTATAACCTTGGATAAGTCACTTCTTTACTTTGAAGGTCAGTTTCCTTACCTATAAAATAAGGTAATTGAAATAAATGATCTTTAAGGTTCTTTTCAGTTCTAATGAGTCTCAATGATCCGACAACCAGAAAGTACACTGTTCCCCCAAAAAAGATCTGTATTTTTTAAAGTTCACCATAATATATTTAACACATGCACACACACTAACCAAGGATACAAACTGGGCTTGGGGTGGGAAAGTGTGTGCACATGTCTGCTCATGCTATGTCTTTAAATAATCTATGTTCATGGTTCAGTCTTCTTTACCTCTCTAAGTTCGTAGAGAAGTATTCTAGTCTTTGACATCAAGGGGCATTTGTGTTTTTTCTTTATTTGCTGCAAACTTTTGTTATATCAGAAAAGATCTGAGGCAACTTGGAAAAAAACATGAAGAACATAATAAAACAAAGAATTGGTAGAGAAATCAGAGGAAAAGGGAGAGCTAGCTAGGCAGTAAGGCTGGGTGGGACACTAACTTCTTTTGATTACTAAAGTAATGTAATAAAGTCCTAGGAAGTGAAGAAATGAAGCCTAGAAGCACTCCAGTTCCACTTTTCATATGGTTTAATGAAATTGCTACATAGGATGACCCTGATCACACTTATTTGTGTGTGATATTCTACATAAGCTTCCCTCCGTATCTTTTATATTTAGACCTATTTAGAATAATATGTTTGTGAAGAATGTCACCATTCCTTTTTTTAATTCCTGAGATTCTCTAGGAGCCACAGTTACTGTGGTAAAACTCATGAGAAATTTAAAGGGTTCTTGCCCAGGTTCTTTAGGTTTTGGGAAGGGTCATGTCTTCCTTAGAATTACATGGCATACAAAGAAGTGAGGGAAGGATCAGAATCCGTAGCTTTGAAATAAATGCGTTGCTAGAAATGCAATAAATGTTGCATATATAATGTGTTGCTAGAAATCTATTTTTGTTTAGTTCTTAAAATTTCCTTTAAAAAAATCACAAAGCTTTACACTCTAAAGGAGAGTGAATTCTCCTTCCAAATTAAATGTAGTTCAGGTGTTCATTGGTTAAATATTGGGCAACATGTTTCCAAAGTGACCAGATACACAGAGAGGTGGGCTGACACTGCCAGTTGTCACTGGGGTGGTGAAGGAAGCTTCTGACTTGGCTCAGAAAACCCAGTCTTTTCAAGGGGCTAGGGCTAGAAGAGTGGGGAAAGGGGAATTTATACAGAAACACTTATTATTTGAGTTTCAATCCCACTTTGTTCTTGACATGACTGACCCTTCTAGTTTAGCATGATAACCCTTGCTATGAGTGAGTAGAGTGACAAGTAAAATACTACGTCAGGTGCTTTCACACACATTACATCACTTGGTCTCATGTTAAACTTTCAGGCAGTCTGAGGTTTCTCATCATTGGCACTATTGACATTTGGGCTGGACAATTCTTTGTTGGAGGCTGTCTCATGCATTATAAGAGGTTTCACGGCATACCTGGCTCCTACCCACTAGATGCCAGTAATACACTTCCCCCCAAGTTATGACTACAAAAAAAGTCTCAGATCGCCCTCAGCTGAAAACCACTGTTAGTTCCATTTTAACAGGGGAGAAAACAAGCTGAAAGAGGTTTAATAACTGACCCAAAGTCAGACAGTAAATAATTGTGACAATAGTCAAATACAGCTCCTTCTGACTTGGTGGATTTTGATCTGTCTATACATTAGAATCATCTGGGGAGTTGTGTGGAACACTGTCTGAGACCCATTCCTGACCAAGCAAATTAACTTCTCCGCTTTAGCATGGTGCTCGTATTTTGCATTCTCCCCAGGTGCATTCTAAATCAAGTTCCCCCAATCCCCCATGCCAGATGATGAAGTGAGGTGAAGGTAGTCAGCAGGACAAGCCCAGCCTTTTCCCTTCCGCCCCATTTCTCCCCTACCTGTGGCTTAGAAAAACCAACCTTCTGTATCTTAGATAGTCATGGGCAATGACTGCCCAACTTTAACTGCCCTGCCTACTGAAAAATAAGGAAAAACAATAAAAAGGGCACATAAGTTGGTACTTACAGTTCGATGATTTATCCACTGACTATGGCGATATTCCAAAGTTCCCCCTAAGTCTTCTGTCAGTTGGCTTTTGTCAATGTAGCCATGAAGGTCAGAGACAGAGTTTAACATAATGATCTATAGGGGAAAAATTAATATATTCCTCACAAATAATTAAACAGTAGCTCATCTAGATTCTGTTGTTATTTAAACAGTACTTGAACTTTGCCTGACCAGGAATTTAACACACAAAGAGTTAATACAAATAGCAGACAAACATGTTTTTAAATATAATTTACTCTCAAGTTAGCTAACATACAGTATATACAGTGTGCTCCTGGCTTTGGGAGTAGATTCTCGTGATTCACCACTTACATACAACACCCAGGGCTCATCCCAATGAGTGCCCTTCTCAATGCCCATCACCCATTTTCCCTTCCCCACCGCCTCCCCCCATCAACCCTCAGTTTGTTCTCTATAGTTAAGAGTCTCTTATTAATTGCCTCCTCTCTGTAACTATTTTTTTCCGTTCCCTTCCTTCATGGTCTTCTTTTAAGTTTCTCAAATTCTACATTTGAGTGAAAACATATGGTATCTGTCTTTCTCTGACTGCCTTATTTCACTTAGCATAATACTCTCCAGTTCCATCCACATTGTTGCAAATGGCAAGATTTCATTCTTTTTGATTGCTGAGTAATACTCCATTGTATTTATAAACCATGTCTTCTTTATCCATTCGTCAGTTGATGGACATTTGGGCTTTTTCCATACTTTGGCTATTGTTGATAGCGGGGCTATAAACATTGGGTTACATGTGCCCCCATGAATTAGCACTCCTGCATCCTTTGTATAAATTCCTAGTAGCAGCAGAGAAACATTTTATAGCCCCTTTATATTTAATCCCCTTTAGGTGAGGAATACCAAAGGGTTGTACAATCTGTGACAAAATGGTGACTTGGTTCAGGGGACTCAGTTTTAAGCTACTTAGAAGTCGGGTCTTACTCTAGGTGAAGTTTTGTCGAAAGTTCCCAAGCTAAAGCCTACTCTTCAGCCACAAAATCAAGTGCCGTATTGAGACCTAAAATTCTGCAATGAGAAGCCCAATAAGGGGTAGGCTGGTGAATATCAAAATAAAATTAGAATACAGGACCTATTGAGAAGTATGCATTAAAAAGATTTACTACACTGATGCCTCCTGTGAAGAATGTTAATGTGCCCCCAATGTATCCAGTATGGTGGAGATTTGGATGTAATAGGGAGTGGGTTTTTATAAATTAACAATGTGGCTGATGAACAAACCCATGCTGATGAACAAATGCCCACACACCTAGAGGAAGCTGACTCATTCCAAGTTGTCCTTTTTTACTCCACTACAGTGGCTCTGACCAGAACATCATCCTGGTTCTCTGTTTCAGGGACCCCCTGCTCACTCCTAAAGAGAAACAAGGACTCCTCACTCCTATTTCTAAAATATGTCCCCCTTTAAGCTTTTAACTTAATGACCTTCTATTTCTTCACTCCTTGTTTAATATTTTGAAAACTTGGTCAGAGAACATAAGAATATAGGTTTCCAGGGGCACCTGGCTGGCTCCGTTGATGGAGCATGTGACTCTTGATCTCTGGATTGTGAGTTTGAGCCCCATGTTGGGTGTAGAGATTACTTAAAAATAAAATCTTTTAAAAAAGGATATAGTGTTTCTTCTATTATTATATAGTATTAGTCAAATGCTAAATCCACTTCAGAACTAAAAAAAAATATGTTAGGGCCCAAAGCCTATAGGTGAAAATAAAAGTGATTTACTCATTCAACAAATATGTATTGAACTTCTAATAACTGCCAGGCTCTGAAGGAGAACACAGCACAACAGGCCCTGCCTCAAGGCACTCATGTTTAGTAGGATTTGGTTACTACATATCACTGTTACCCTGCCTTTCTCCTTTTCTTCTGAAAATGAGTTTGGGAATTTTACCTATTTATTTATTTATTTATTTATTTATTTATTTATTTTATTTTTTTTTTTATGTTTTTTTAAAGTAAGCTCTACGCCCAATGTGTGGCCCAAATCCACAACCCCAATATCAAGAGTTGCATGCTCCACCAACAGAGCCAGCCAAGCACCCAGGAGCTTGGGAATTTTAAAAATTACATTTATAAAATGAGAAAAAGTTGGGGGGGGGTAACCTAAATCCATCTATGCCTTTCCCTCCTAAAACTTGTAAACCACTTTTAGGAGTTGCAAAAATATGTTTCTAAAATTAGAAATTATAGGACACAAAACAAGAAATTGCCAATATATTTTGCTTCTTGAGACAACTGCTATGGTAATACTTGGATTTTTTTTTAATACCAATATGGAACATTGTATTAGGCAGAAATAACTTTGCCACATAGCCTGGAGTTTTAACAGATCCTGCTAGGCTGCACATTTTCTGTTCCACATAACTGAACAGGAGAGGGAGGCATGTGTTCCATGCTTGCTAGGACTCTGCCATGTCACCTTTAGCTACAGAGGACCAAGAGAAATTTTAAACTGACAGCTAAAAGTGAAAATTAGAAATGAAAGAAAGATATTAGAGGATTCAGTACTGCTAAATATTGATCTGCAAATTGAAAGCAATCCCAATCAAAATTATAGCAGACTTGCTGTAGAAATTGACAAGCTAATTCTAAAATCTATATAGAAGTGCAAAATACCATTTTGATAAGTGATAAAACCATTTTGAAAATGAATAAAGTTTCAAGACTTACAAACTGCAGTAATAAAGAATGTGTTAATGGTGGGGTGTCTGGGTGGCGCAGTCGGTTAAGCGTCCGACTTCAGCCAGGTCACGATTTCGCGGTCCGGGAGTTCGAGCCCCGCGTCGGGCTCTGGGCTGATGGCTCAGAGCCTGGAGCCTGTTTCCGATTCTGTGTCTCCCTCTCTCTCTGCCCCTCCCCCGTTCATGCTCTGTCTCTCTCTGTCCCAAAAATAAATAAACGTTGAAAAAAAAATTTTTTTTTAAAAATAAAAAAAAAAAAAAAAAAAGAATGTGTTAATGGCAAAGGGCAGCCAAATAGATCAGTGGGATAGACTAGAGAATTCTGAACTAGACTCAAACAAATATGGTCAGGTGATTTTTTAACTCTTTATTTTGAAGTAATTATAGTAGTTATAGTAATTATGAGATAATTAAATAATTATGGGTTCACAGGAATTTGCAGACAGTACAGAGAGGTCTCATGTACCTTTCACTCAGTCTCTCCCCTCTAGGGCTGCATCTTACATAATTATAGTACAAAACCATATTGATATTGGTGTAATGTGTATGTTTAGCTCTATATCATTGTCTCACATCTGTAGATTTGCATAACCACCAGCACAATCAAGATACATAACCATTTTATCATTACAAAAGTCTCCCTTGTGCTATCCTTTAAAGTCACACCCCACCCCCAATCATCTCTGAACTTTGGGAAACACTAACCTGACTTTTGACAGAGGTGCAAAGTCAATTCCAGGGAGAAATAATTCCATTTTCAACAAATAGTGCTAAGACAACTAGATGTCCATATACAAAAAAAAAAAAAAAAAAAATAAAGATAAAAAAACTATATATATAAAAAAAAAAAAAAAAAAAAAAAAAAGGAACCTTAGTTCACATCTCATACAAAAAATTAACTCAAAAAGCATCAGAGATCTAAATGTAAAACATAAAACTTGGAGAAGAAAACATAAGAGAAAAATCAGGAGAAATTTTTTGGGTTAGGTAAAGAGTCCTGAGATACAACACCAAAAACATAACATATAAAAGAAAAATTGATAAACTGGACTTCATCCAAATTAAAAGCATTTGCTCTGCAAAAGACACTGTCAGGAGAATGAAAAAGACAACCCACAAACTAGGAGAAAATATTTGCAAATCACGTATCTGACAATGCATTCTTATCTACAAAATATAAAGAACTCTTGAAACTCAACAATAAAAAATACAATTAAAAATGGGCAAGAGAATTACTATTCACCATACTATTGTAAGTCCTAGCCTCAGCAGTCAGACAACACTAAGGAATAAAATGCATCCAAATCGACAAGGAGGAGGTCAAACTTTCACTCTCTGCAGATGACATGATACTGTATATGGAAAACCCGAAAGATTCCACCAAAAAACTGCTAGAACTGATCCATGAATTCAGCAAAGTTGCAGGATATAAAATCAATGCACAGAAATCAATTGCATTTCTATACACCAATAACGAAGCAATAGAAAGAGAAATCAAGAAACTGATCCCATTTACAATTGTCCCAAAAACCATAAAATACCTAGGAATAAACCTAACCAAAGAGGTGAAAAATCTATACACTGAAAACTGTAGAAAGCTTATGAAAGAAATCAAAGAAGAAACAAAAAAATGGGAAAATACCCCATGCTCATGGATTGGAAGAACAAATATTGTTAAAATGTTAAAATTGTTTAAAATCGATACTATCCAAAGCAATCTACATATTCAATGCAATCCCTATCAAAATAACACCAGCATTCTTCACCGAGCTAGAACAAACAGTCCTGAAATTTGTACAGACCCTGAATAGTCAAAGAAATCCTGAAAAAGAAAAACAAAGCTGGAAGTATCACAATCCTGGACTTCAAGATGTATTACAAAGCTGTAATCATCAAGACAGTATGGTACTGGCACAAAAACAGACACTCGGATCAACGGAACAGAATAGAGAACCCAGAAATGGACCCACAAACGTATGGCCAACTAGTCTTTGACAAAGCAGGAAAGAATAGCCAATGGAATAAAGACAGTCTCTTCAGCAAGTGGTGCTGGGAAAACTGGACAGCAACATGCAGAAAAATGAACCTGGACCACTTTCTTACACCAGACACAAAAATAAACTCAAAATGAATGAAAGACCTCAATGTAAGACAGGAAGCCATCAAAATCCTCGAGGAGAAAGCAGGCAAAAAACCTCTTTGACCTCAGCCATCGCAACTTCTTACTCAACACGTCTCCAGAGGCAAGGGAAACAAAAGCAAACATGAACTATTGGAACCTCATCAAAATAAAAAGCTTCTGCACAGTGAAGGGAACAATCAGCAAAACTAAAAGGCAACCAACGGAATGGAAGAAGATATTTGCAGATGACATATCA